AATGTGAGTTAGGGCCCTTAGATTGTATGCTCCTCGGGGGCGGGGACTGATCTGAATGTATGTTAGGGACCTTAGATAGCACACTCCTCGGGGGAGGGGACTGATGTGCATGTATGAATGTGAGTTAGGGACCTTAGATAGCACGCTCCTCGGGGGCGGGGACTGATGAGAATGTATGAATGGGAGTTAGGGACCTTAGATTGTACTCTCCTTGGGGGCGGGGATTGATGAGAATGTATGCCAATCCCTCCCATGTCCCCCCCCTCTGCCAATCCCTCCACTGTCCTCCACCCCCCTCTGCCAATCCCTCCACTGACCTCCACCCCCCTCTGCCAATCCCTCCACTGACCTCCACCCCTCTCTGCCAATCCCTCCACTGACCTCCACCCCTCTTGCCAATCCCTCCACTGACCCCACCCCCCTCTGCCAATCCCTCCACTGACCTCCACCCCTCTCTGCCAATCCCTCCACTGTACTCCACCCCTCTCTGCCAATCCCTCCACCCCTCTCTGCCAATCCCTCCACTGACCTCCATTCAGTGTCCTCCACCCCCCTCTGTCATTCCCTCCACCCCCCTCTGTCATTCCCTCCACTGACCTCCACCCCCCTCTGTCATTCCCTCCACTGGCCTCCACTCAGTGTCCTCCACCCACCTCTGTCATTCCCTCCTCCCCCCTCTGTCATTCCCTCCACGTCCCCCCCTCTATGATTACAGCACGTCCACCATGTGAATGACAACCTTTCTATGACCCGTGTGATCTAATACATACAACATGGCATTGAACGTTTGTAGGTCACATGACTCCGCATGGGATGGAAGGAACCACTTTGTAGGCGGTAATGCGCCAGTCAGCCGCCATTTTTTCTGAGTTCCAGTATTTCAGGTTTACAATCCACGCTTTTATTGAAGTGAGTCGCAGATATAATCCAGATACGTTTACCGGATCAATCGGGACGGCATTGTTTCTTCTGATGTATTACAGGCTGATATCACCCCGCCCCCGCCCTACTCTGGACCAATCAGTGAGCAGTATGGGTGGAGGAATGGATTTGGTGTTCATGACCCACCTGTGCTGATCTCTGTAGGAGTGTCCTCCTCTATAAATGTCCCCGTTATTCCATCCTCCTCCATAGACTGCTGATCATCCCTCACATACGCCTCTTCTTCTTCTGCTTTCACCTCAAATTCTATATCGATTGGATCTCCACTCTACATCAAGAGAAGGAGAGGAAATATCATCTGGAAGATAGAAGGTCACAGAAACTCCACACATTGTCTGTATGAATCCATGTTCTAGATGCTCCATCCCACCAACCTTGCAATGGTGAGGGATGGTGTGACCTTCCTGTGTGGAATCCCGGGAATACAGAGGACGGGGACATCTCTCTGGTGGCTTCCTGGTATTAGGTGGCTCCATCATCTCCTTGTGTCCTTCTGAAAACTCCTCCATCACTCCATCCTCCTCATCCTCCTCTTTATACTCTTCTTTACCATCAATATTCTCATCCCCGAGGATTCCACTCTGAGAGATATAATAAAACATTCATTGTAACCACCTAACCCCCCTCCCACCGTAACCCCACCAACTCTCCCCTCCTCTGACCTCGCAACCGCCCTGCCCCCCACCACACCTAACATCCCACACACTATAACCCCCCCAACACTCCACTCCTTCAGCCTTGCCACCACTGAGGAGGTCACTAAGGTCTTCTCAGAAGCCCACCTCACCACTTGCCCCCTGGATCCTGTCCCCACACAACTCCTCCGGGCACCCTCCCCCTCCATCCTACGCTCCCTCACCCACATCTTCAATCTCTCCCTCTCTACTGGCGCATTTCCCTCCCCCCTAAAGCTCGCCCACATCCCCCCCATACTCAAAAATCCCTCCCTGGACCCCACCGACCTGAACAACCCCAGACCCATCTCCCTGCTGCCATTCACTTCCAAACTCCTTGAGCGCCTAGTCTACAATCGCTTAACGCCCTCCTCACCGACAACAACCTCCTCGATCCCCTACAGTCCGGCTTCCGTCCCCTACACTCCACCGAAACCGCCCTACACTCCACCGAAACCCCCCTACACTCCACCGAAACCCCCCCTACACTCCACCGAAACCCCCCCTACACTCCACCGAAAACCCCCCCTACACTCCACCGCAACCGCCCCACTCCACCGAAAACCCCCCTACACTCCACCGAAACCCCCCCTACACTCCACCGCAAACCGCCCTACACTACACCGAAAACCCCCTACACTCCACCGCAACCCGCACTACACTCCACCGAAACCGCCCTACACTCCACCGAAACCCCCCTACACTCCACCGAAACCCCCCTACACTCCACCGAAACCCCCCTACTCCGAACCGAAAACACTCCCGAAACCCCCTACACTCCACCGAACCCGCCCTACACTACACCGAACCCGCCCTACACTCCACCGAAAACCCCCTACACTCCACCGAAACCGCCCTACACTCCACCGACACCGCCCTACACTCCACCGACACCGCCCCACACTCCACCGACACCGCCCCCTACACTCCACCGAAACTCCCTTACTCAAACTCTCCAACGACCTGCTAGCCGCCAAAGCTAATGGCCACTATTCAGTGCTCCTACTCCTCCACCTTTCCACGGCCTTCCACACAGTCCACCACCTCCTCCTCCTTACTAAACTACACTCCCTCGGCATCAGAGACTCCGCCCTCTCCTGGCTCTCCTCCTATCTATCCCGACGCTCCTTCAACGTTACCTGTAATGCTACCACCTCCCCCTCACTGTTGGGGTCCCCCAAGGCTCTGTCCTTGGGCCCCTTCTCTTCTCCATCTACACCTCCTCCCTTGGCCAAAAGATACACTCCCACGGCTTCAACTATCACCTCTATGCCGACGACACACAAATCGGCCTCTCCAACCCTCACCTCACCCTTCAGTCTCCACCCCCCACCTCACCCCTCAGTCTCCACCCCCCACCTCACCCTTCAGTCTCCGCCCCTCACCTCACCCCTTCAGTCTCTGCCCCTCACCTCACCCCTTCAGTCTCTGCCCGTATCACCCATTTACTGAACGACATATCAGACTGGATGTCGCTCCATTTCCTCAAATTGAACTTTTCCAAAACTGAGCTCCTGACTTTCTCCCCAGCCCCCCCCCCCCCATCCTATCCAACAACGCCACCATCAGTCCCACTCCACAAGCCAAAGTCCTAGGTGTCACTCTAGACTCAAACCTATCCTTCCAACCCCATGTCCAATCATTGGCAAGCTCATGCAGGCTCCGCCTCTGCAACATCTCCAAACTCCGCCCATTCCTCACCCCAAAAAACACTACTAAACTACTCGTTCCCTCCCTTATTATCTCACATCTGGACTACTGCAACTCCCTCCTCACCGGCCTCCTCCTCATCACAGACTATCCCCGCTTCAGTCTATCCTGAACTCAGTGGCCAGACTCATCAACCTCTCTGCCACCCCCCTCTGTCATTCCCTCCACTGGCCTCCACTCAGTGTCCTCCACCCCCCTCTGTCATTCCCTCCACTGGCCTCCATTCAGTGTCCCTCCACCCCCTCTGTCATTCCCTCCACTGGCCTCCAATTCAGTGTCCTCCACCCCCCTTTGTCATTCCCTCCACTGGCCTCATCCCCTCAGTGTCCTCCACCCCCTTTGTCATTCCCTCCACTGGCCTCCATTCCCCTCTGTCATTCCCTCCACTCCCCCTCTGTTATTTCCTCCACTGGCCTCCATCCCCCTCTGTCATTCCCTCCACTGGCCCCCATTCAGTGTCCTCCACCCCCCTCTGTCATTCCCTCCACTGCTCTCCATTCAGTGTCCTCCATCCCCCCTCTTTCATTCCCTCCACTGGCCTCCACCCCCCCGTGTCATTCCCTCTACTCAGTGTCCTCCACCCCCCTGTGTCATTCCCTCCACTGGCCCCCATTCAGTGACCTCCACCCCCCCTTCTGTCATTCCCTCCACTGCTCTCCATTCAGTGTCCTCCATCCCCCTCTTTCATTCCCTCCACTGACCTCCACTCAGTGTCCTCCACCCCCCTCTGTCATTCCCTCCACTGCTCTCCGATTGCCCAGTGTCCTCCATTTCCATTAAATTCAAACCTCCACTCAGTGTCCTCCCACCCCCCCACTGACATACAAAGCCATTCATAACTCCGCCCCAAACTACCTCACCGACCTGATACCCAAATACCACCCAACCCGTAATCTTCGCTCCTCACAAGACCTCCTACTTTCTAGCTCCCTGGTCTCCTCCTCCCACGCCCGACTGCAGGACTTCTCCAGGACTTCCCCCCATCCTATGGAACTCCCTACCCCAATCCATCAGACTATCACCTACCCTCCTCACCTTTAGGCGCACCCTGAAAACCCATCTCTTCAGGGAAGCCTACCCCGCCCCCACCTAACAGCCGATCTCCTCCACTCCTCCTACCACTCCATCCCCCACAGCCACCTCCTCCTGTACCACTCTCCCCTCCCTCCTAGATTGTAAGCTCCCAGGATCAGGCCCTCCCTCGCACCCCTCGTGTATTGTATTGTTACTGTATTGTCTCATGTTCTGTCCCCACTATAATGTACAGCGCTGAGCAAACCTTCTGCCGCCATATAAATACTGTATAATAATAATCTACCTGATGATGGTGAGGGATGGTGTGACCTTCCTGTGTGGAATCCCGGGAATACAGAGGACGGGGACATCTCTCTGGTGGGTTCCTGTAGCTGGATGACTCCACCATGGTGTCCTGGTACAGATCTTTGTGTCCTTTTAGAATCTCTGACTCCTCCATCCCCCCATCCTCATCCTCCTCCTCTTTTATCTCTTCTTTAACCTCAACTTTAGGATCTCTCAGGTTTCCACTCTGAATATATAATAAAAATGACATCAATGGTAACAATGCAGATAATGTACAGATCCTAATGATACTATCAGTGATTGTTCCTCATCTACCTGATGATGGTGAGGGATGGTGTGACCTTCCTGTGTGGAATCCCGGGAATACAGAGGACGGGGACATCTCTCTGGTGGGTTCCCATGACTGGATCCACCTACCTGATGATGGTGAGGGATGGTGTGACCTTCCTGTGTGGAATCCCGGGAATACAGAGGACGGGGACATCTCTCTGGTGGGTTCCCATGACTGGATCCATCTTACCTGATGATGGTGAGGGATGGTGTGACCTTCCTGTGTGGAATCCCGGGAATACAGAGGACGGGGACATCTCTCTGGTGGGTTCCCATGACTGGATCCATCCTGATGATGGTGAGGGATGGTGTGACCACACCTGTGTGGAATCCTGGGAATACAGAGGACGGGGACATCTCTCTGGTGGGTTCCCATGACTGGATCCATCTGTAGGGGGGACACAGGTGACTGAATCCATTGTTTCTATGTCCTTTATCAGATGATGGGGGATCTAGGTGATTGATCCTCCGTACTCCTTCTCTCCTTTACAATAAAGTCTCCTCTTACCCGTCCTGTGTAGAGGTCCTTGTCTACAGGCTGATTGTCCATCATGACGTCCTTGTAGAGGTCCTTGTGTCCTCTCTGGTGGTCCTCCATCATGACGTCCTTGTAGAGGTCCTTGTGTCCTCTCTGGTGGTCCTCCATCATGACGTCCTTCTAAATATTGATGTGTATCATCTGCTGGAGATAACATACATCACATGACTATGAAGGAAGAGGACGGACATGACGGGGGGGTTACTGGGTGTAAATAGAACATAACATCTTATTACCTCCTCTGCTGCTACTTCCTGCAATGTCTCCAATCGCCTTCACACGGCATGGCACAGCCTGTCTTTATTCCACATCACTTCCTGTCTGTTCCTGACATCACTTCCTGTCTGTTCCTGACATCACTTCCTGTCTGTATTCCATAGTGAAGTCCTGTCTGGTTAGTAGAAATGAGATCACCATCTTGTGGAGATCAGAGGAACTGCAGCCCCGAGAAATGTCCCCTAATACCCATTCCTGCATTGTATTACCTTACAGAGATATCAGGGAGGAGCCAAAATAACTAATAAAAAGTAAGAAACAATAAACCAACTCTTATGTAACCAACTGTTTAACAAATATATTTTACTGCAGATAGAAAAGTCTTAAAGACACAGAACACAAGATAAAAGTGTAGGGAACTGTTATTTTTATACACTAGTTGTGGTTTGTTTACATTCATATACAGCCACTACCATAGAGGTCCCATTACAGACAAGTCCCTGGGTGTGCTTCCTGCCCCTGCAAGGAGGTCAGGAAACCCCAGGATGTTATATAGTTGTTTTCCAGGAAGTATCAGGCAGAGGGTTCCAGCCTGCCATGTGCTGTGTATCCGGGGGGAACTGTATGGGGATTCTGAGTAATGATCCAGATTAACAAGGCTGCCATCTATGTAGTTGTTACTGAAGCAGATTAGGTCTGCCTGTTATATTTCAACTTCTGTATTGGAACCCGAATATCTGTAAGAGAGAGATTTGTGGTTCATTATCATTATTCTATTTACACTGCAGAATCCTTATAGTTTATATATATATATATATAGATCCGTGTCTTCACCTGTATAAGACTGTCAGGGGAACTCTCTGTTAATTGCAGTGTATCTCTGCAGCCTCTTTGCTTCAAGCCGTAGCACCCTTATTGGTCTGGATCTCCCTTTAGCTGGGATTATCATAGGGAGCTTTGGATAGATTAGGCTAGAGGTAGGTTAGGCATCCGACGGCCACTTACACAGATAGAGGCCCGGTTGTAGTGACAGCCCAGTTCAGGGATAGGGACTAAGAGTGAGGATAGATAGGACATTTCATCCTTTTAGGTGATGCATCGCTGATCTTCAGACAAGCAGTGCAATCATCCGCATAGAACGTGTTACTTGGACGCCATCGCAGCATCTGAAGTGGAAGCGTGCATCTTATGGACTCTCACCTCTCCAGGGGCCCCTGCACCCGGACTGCACTATAACCCATGGTTGGAGGTATTCTGTATACTACATATACCCGGGGATAACTGCAACCTCCCAATTTATGGTGAATTGTCATTCCTGAATGTTTTTCTTATGCCTCCTGTTTTATGTGGCTGCTTTATATTGTTGTGGGCTTTTGAATCATGTCTCAAGAATATGACTTTTATCAAGACATAATATTATATGGCAAACAGATCAGCATAACCGGATGTTAAGAGTTAATTTTGTCTTGGTTGAACCACCAAGAATTCTAGTTAAAGAACTGGAGAGAATGGGTGAAGGGATTGTTTTTCTTTCCTCCTAGAGACAATACTATTTTGAAGTTCTACAGGTGATCAAACACCATTATTCAGACTTCAATAAGCAGGTAAACATATACAAGGTCTGGACATGACAATAGAGGAACCAAACTGATTGTCTGAGAGCTTACCCAAACCTTGTAGAGTGTGATGAACCAACAGACCTCTGAAACTATTACCATATACTATTGTTCACCAAGGGTGAAAGCATTAACAGATGTTTACCATGAGTCCAATACAAGGGCCAGGCAAATAGAGAATTTTTTTTTCCCTACACAGAGGAAATGTTGATTCTGAAACAAAGGGGTGAAATTCAGGACATTTAAGTTTAAAAGTTCACTGTATATCATGACAAAAATGTACTACAAAAACATATCATAAATAAGATGTCAGAGACTTTTAAACACCACTAAATACTCAGCAATGGGAACTATATATCACTAACTTGAGTATTGAGATGATTGGAAGTAAGATGTATTATAAACTAGCATTAGTTACATGTCTTATCAGGAAACAAACAGGATGATATTTCAAGTAGGAATAACTGAATATACACCTATATTCCATGGTCCCTATTTAGAATATCATAGGTATGATCACTGCTATATCTGGAAAGAGCCGTATATTTTATTCCTGAAATTACCTGAAGATTCCACCCAAGGTATGAGTCATCTCAAATACTCACATTGTTCTGTGATACATGACCGCCACCTGGTGGGCAGGTGAGAAATAGCTTATGTACACACATTTCTCAACTAGCCATTCAGGAAGCCTGGTGGGAAGGTATCTTAGAACAATGGGACTAGTGGATATAAAAGCCCATGTGCTTTAAGAAAAAAAAAGAAAGAACCCTCATAAAGACCTCATGGAAAGACCTGACATCTGAAGAAGATCTCTGCTGAAATAACTACTCTTCCATCTTTTCAAACTTCCTAAAACTTTAAACCTCTAAACTTATAACTTCCTACATTCTCCCTATTGAATCTATCACTTGCCCTATATATCAGTCTAAAGGCGTTCCACTGCCAGCTAAATCCACGGGAGAGTTGCCTAGTCTGACGTCCGGGTGTGGTGAGATGTTTATTTGATTTTTGTATTAATTATTTTCTCTGTTGTGTAGAATCATAAAATTACCTCAGTGTATTACAACAATATTGGGTAGTTAGATTATCTGTAGTCAGATACTGTGTTTTACTGTTAAAAAAATTGTTTATTGCCATATTATACATTTTTCATATTTCATAATTTATTGAATATTAATAACCAGAGTATCATATATCAAGGGCTTACTTCTTGCAATCCTATGGCCACGGCGTGCGAGAATATAACCTTTGAGATATTCGAAATTATTAATTATTAATAAATTTAAATAAATAATCATATCATTTAAAAAATTTGTAATTGATGTAATTAGTTAGAGACATTATTAATGTGTATTACATTGGTAGGATATATTTTTGATTGTGTGTACCAATGTTCATTTATCACCAGTCTTTTGCGTTTTGTGTTAATATATATATAATTTTTGTACATAAATAAATTTTTATATTTATCTATTATAAGGCAAATTTTGTGTGTATGGTACGAAATCATATTGGCTAAAAGAATTCAAGGTATAATAATAAGTGGTGATCAAATTATCAAGGTGTCCAAATTATTGGTTTTACTAAATATTTGCCGTATTTTAACGGCTGGAGGCACTGTAATATTTCATCTAAGGGAAAGGGACACGCCCTTTATAAATAATATATATCCTTACATAAACCACCACAACAATATAAACTTTGCATTCATCTCATACAGGCGTGGTGACGTGTTTTCATGTTAGAGATATGATCTGGGGGCATTAATACTGCTATGTATTAGTTACTGTAAGTGGTCTGCCTGTTACATTCCTAGAAAGGGGGGAGTCCCCTCAATTGCAGGATCCCTATTCTAGGTGGAGGCACTGCCATTTGTATGATCACAACCCCCTCTTCCATATAGCGAAGGCTCAGGATTGCCTACTCATATACAGGTTAGCGCCATAGCTTGTTTGGTGTGGGCCATTTCACATAACCCCCCCCCCCCCCCCCCCAAAACAGGGCTACATTTGGAGGCACTGCTGAGAGCGAAGTGGGTTTAATAGTCAGTCATGGAGGAGCAACACGAAGAGAAGTGGCGCCCTCAACCTACTCCTAGAAGGGAGGTACCTTCCCTCTGTCCCACCAAACGTCAGAGTAAGAGAAGAACAAATGCCAGTTAACTATTCTTATCAGGAAGATGTCAATATTCCACAATCTAGTGAGAATGCTGTTGGCACTTTTAAATCAACTGACTGAGATGCTAGCACAAGGGTTACAGGCGGCACATTATAGAAAGCTAAAAAGTGTTCTCTGGTAATGTTCCTGTACCACAAGGAGAAGAAGCTTTCGAAGTCTGGACAGAGCACACCCTTCAATGCTTGAAAGAATGGTCCTGCCCAGAGGAAGGCAAGCGTCAGCGTGTTATGGAAAGTCTGCGATCTCCAGCGGCAGAACTAATCCGCTTGTATCGAGATACCCGTGAGGGGGTAAGTGCAACAGACTATATACAAGTACTGTCTGACCAGTTTGAACCATACTATGACCTCGAACAGATGGTTGCTGACTATCGTATGACCCGTCAGAAAGAAGGGAGAGTGTTTCCACTTTCATTAATCGATTGCAGTTGCTGTTGTCACGTCTGGTGTATCACACGGCTATACATCCTGATGCAGTGAATTCAATGAGCACTTCAATTAGTACGGGGGTTGTTACCTCATCATCCTCTCGCACAGCTCCTCAAAGTGAAGTTATCTGATGATATGATCTTCCTCTTCATGGACTAATGAAGTTAGTGAAGAAATTGGAAGCTGACATTCGGTTTAGCACCCCTAAGAAAGTGAAACAACCTTTTAAAGAGAGGACCTCCCTTCTCGTCCTGTTCAAAATGATCAACCTGAATTCACTCGGCCCAAGTCTTCCATTAACAAGCCCGTTGCATTACACAGAGGGAGAGACTCTAGGAAGTGCTTCAGGTGTGGTCAGACGGGCCATTCAGGTAGACAATGTCATGACGATTATGAGGGAACGGTGCAAAGTGTGTCATTCCCTGTACAAAAGCACAAAGGACGACTGAAATATTCAAAGTCAGGATCAAAACAGCCTATCATAGGCTCCAAGTCCATTGTTAACGTCACTGTCAACGGACTTAAAACTTCAGCTTTGTCTGACACTGGTCTCTCAAGTTACCCTTATCTATCGTTCCTTCATCGGAAGCGTTTGAGCAACACACCACTTCAATCTACTGGACAGATGAAGTTGTGGGGGTTGAACTCGAAGTCATACCTGTTGATGGAAGCCTGCGCATAATTGTTACTGTACCTGGTTTAGAGGACAAAGGTGTCCCTCCCATGGAGATCACGGCACTTGTGTGTCCCG